CTTGTTGACTTTCTGTCTGGATGATCTATCCATTGATGTAAGTGGGGTGTTAAATTTCCTTACTATTACTGTGTTGCTGTCAATTTCTTCCTTTATGTCTGTTAATAATTGTTTATATATTTTGGTGCTCCTTTTTAGGTATATATATATTTATTATGTCTTCTTAATGAATTGTCTAGAGTTTTAGTTTTGTAAGATGAAGAAGTTATGGAGATCTATTGCACAATAATGTGAATATACTTATAACTACTGAGCTATACACTTAAAACTGATTAAAATGATAAATAATGTTATGTAGTTTTTACCATAATAAAGAGAATACCTTCTTACTGTACCTTCCATCTGACTTAAACCAATGAGTGAAGTTGTGCAAGGTGCATACAGGAATACCAACATTTAACTCTGTTGTAATCTCCACATAATCCTATGGTGTACTGTGGTGATAGCCACTAAAAATAAGTTAATGAATGCTAAAATAAATCCTTGAATCTATCTACCTATCTAAATATCTGTCTATCTATATCTTAACACATAAACAGTGAAAGAAAAACAAAAATATTAAAATCTTTGTAGTTTAACATTTTTTAACAAAATTAAGCTTTCCTTTATGTATTATGTTTTTCCAATAATATGGAAGCCAAATTTAAATAGAGACTGTATAAAAAAATAACTATATAAAATGACTCAACATCTCTATAAAAAACTGATCAGTTATTGCTGGATGATAATCAGTGCCTTTCCATTTTTATGGATACCTATATTGTCTGAACATTCCACAATGAATATGCATTAATTATGAAGTAAAAAAAGAATTACTTTAAAATTTTAAAGTAATTTTTAAATTTACAAAATGAAAAGTGTTTTAAAACCAGGCAAGTTTGGTATATACCACTTTGTGACTATACAGTCGAGAAGTGCAATGACTGATCTATTAGTCATATATTAATAGATACATCAGGGAAGATGAGATAATTCTCTGAAACTATCAAAAGGGCAAAATAAATATAAAAAAATTTAAGGAAAACATAAAGATGGCTAAGAGGCACAAGAAAAGATGCTCAACATCATTAATTATTAGAGAAATGCAAATCAGAACTACAATGGCTTCACACTGGTCAGAATGGCCATCATCAAAATATCTACAAACAATACATACTGGAGAGGATGTGGAGAAAAGGGAACCCTCTTGCACTCTTGGTGGGAATGTAAATCGGTATCGCCAATATGGAGAACAGTATGGAGGTTCCTTAAAAAACTAAAAATAGAACTACCATATGACCCAGCAATCCCACTACTGGGCATATACCCTGAGAAAACTATAATTCAAAAAGACACATGCACCCCAGTGTTCATTGCAGCACTATTTACAGTAGGGCATGGAAGCAACTAAAAAGTCCATCAAAAGATGAATGGATAAAGAAGATGTGGTACATATACACAATGGAAAATTACTCAGCCATTAAAAGGAAGAAAATTGGGTCATTTGTAGAGACGTGGATGGACTTAGAGACTGTCATACAGAGTGAAGTGAGTCAGACACAAAAAGACAAATATTGTATATTAATGCATATATGTGGAATCTAGAAAAATGGCACAGATGAAAGTGTTTGAAAAGCAGAAATAGAGACACAGACGTAAAGAACAAACATATGGATTCCAAGGGGGGAAAAGGGGATGGGATGCATTGGCGGATTGGGATTGACATATATACACTATGTATAAAATAGATAACTAATGAGAATAATGCTGTATAGCATTGAACTCTACTTGATGTTCTGTGGTGACCCAAATGGGAAGGAAATCCAAAAAGGAGGGGATATATGTATGCATATAGCTGATTCACTTCGCTATACAGCAGAAACTAACAAAATATTGTCAAGCAACTGTACCCTAATTAAAAGAAAAAAAAAAGAAAAGAAATTTTTAAAGGAAAGTATAGAAATTAACAGAAAAATCAATGGAAATGGTATTTCATCCAGTCCCATTTCTTGATGGAAAACTTGTTGGAATTAATCATCAAGTGATCAAATTTCAAATGTCTAAAAATGCCTAAGTGGTAGCTTTGTAGAGAGCAAATAATGTCAGACAAATTTAATTTATATCTATGACAGAGTGGCAAGGATAAACCAATAGGGATTGCACTGAATCTGTTCATTGCCTTGGCTACTATAGTCATTTTGACAATATTGATTCTTCCAATCCAAGAACATGGTATATCTTTTCATCTGTTTGTGTTGTCTTTTCTTTCTTTCATCAGCATCTTATATATAGTTTTTGGAGTACAGGTCTTTTGTCTCCTTAGGTAGGTTTATTCTTAGGTACATTTTGTTTTTGATTAGATGGTAAATGGAATTGTTTCTTGAATTTCTCTTTCTGATCTTTCATTGCTAATGTATAGAAATGCAAAAATTTCTGTCTATTAATTTTGTATCCTGCAACTTTACCAAATTAATTGATGAGTTCTAGTAGTTTTCTGGCAGCATCCTTAGGATTTTCTATGTATAGTATCATGTCATCTGCAAACAGTGACAGTTTCATTTCATCTTTTCCAATTTGGCTTCTTTTTATTTCTTTTTCTTCTATTATTTCCATGGTTAGAATTTCCAAGACTATGTTGAATAAAAGTGGCAAGAGTGGACATCCTTGGCTTGTTCCTGATCCTAGAACTGCTTTCAGCTTTTCACCATTGAGTATGATATTAGCTATAGGCTTGTCATATATGGCCTTTATTATGTTGAGGTATGTTCCCTCTATAATTTTCTGGAGAGTTTTTATCATAAATGAGTGTTGAATTTTTTCAAAAGTCTTGTCTGCATCTGTTGAAATGATCATATCGTTTTTATTCTTCAGTTTGTTGATGTGGTGTATCACACTGATTGATTTGTGGATACTGAAAAATTCTCACATCCCCAGGATAAATCACACTTGATCATGGTGTATGATGCTTTTATTGTTTTGTTGGATTCAGATTGCTAATATTTTGTTGAGGAATATTCATGTTCATCAGTAATATTGGCCTATAATTTTCTTTTTTTGTGGTATATTTGTCTGGTTTTGGTTCCAAGGTGGTGGAGCTTGGGAGTATTCCTTCCTCTGCAGTTTTTTGGAATACTTTCAGAAGGATGGGTGTTAGCTTTTCTCTCAACATTTGATATACTTGGCCTGTGGAGCCATCTGGTCCTGGACTTTTGTTAGTTGAGAGTTTTTTAATCACGAATTCAATTTTTGTTCATTTTTTCTATTTCTTCCCGATTCAGTCTTGGGAGATTGTACCTTTCTAAGATTTTATCCATTTCTTCCAGGTTGTCCATTTTATTAGCCTATAGTTGCTTGTAGCAGTCTCTTACGAACCTTTGTATTTCTATGGCAAATAAATTAATTTTAAAAAGGAAGGAAGGATAAATAGTGTACATTTGCTTTAAAAATATTCAGGATTTTCCTGGTGGTGCAGTGGTTAAGAATCTGCCTGCCAGTGCAGGGGACATGGGTTCGAGCCCTCATCTGGAAGGTTCCCACATGCCGCAGAGCAACTAAGCCCATGTACCAGAACTACTGAGGCTGCGCTCTAGAGCCCTCAAGCCACAACTACTGAGCCTATATGCCACAACTACTGAAGCCTGTGCACCTAGAACCCATGCTCCGCAACAAGAGAAGCCCATGCACCACAATGAAGAGTAGCCCCCATTCACCACAACTAGAGAAACCCATGCACAGCAATGAAGACCCAATGCAGACAAAAATTAATAAATAAATAAAAAATATTCACTTTGGGAAGATTCTCATAAGGATAAATTAGTATTTCCCCTTAAACATCTATGTAAGTAATTTCATGTTGATGAATATGAATGATATAATTTACAGATTTAATCCTTTATGTGACTTTTCTGTGACTCCCCTTTTTAATTGGATTTAAGTTTGTTAGAATATAAAATAGCATACTGTTTATCTCTTCTACCCTATTTTAGATAATGGATGATTTCTATTTTCAGTTATTTTTCCATAGGAACAATTCTGACTAAAAACAAAACATTTAACGTTAAAATATATTTGTTCTATTCATTGCTCCTAGGAAATTTATGTTTGCTTAGACATTTTAAATAATTAAAGGGAATATTCTTTCTCAAATTTTGTTTGAAGATGTTAAAAGTTAATTAAATGCACCCTTTATTTCACAGAAGACAGTTGTATCTTCAGTCACTGCTTTTTGGTTTTAGTTGATATAGATCATTGTACAGACAGTACAGTAGCATAGCTTTCAGTCCCTTTATCAAGGTTCTTCAAAATCTTATTTAAGAAAGGGAGTGATAAGAACAGTCAGTGTATTTATGATGACTTCTTATTTCATTTAATGTTTTTTTGTGAATTTTTTTCAGAAATTCAAAAATTTCAAGGTTCTGATGGAAAAAAGGAAGATGAAGAAAAGAAATATCTTGATGTCATCAGCAACAAAAACATAAAGCTCTCAGAAAGGGTATTGATTCCTGTCAAACAGTATCCAAAGGTACTGTAATATATGCTTTGTTCTCATAGAATTAAGAAAAAATTGATAAAAATAAGACTTGATGTTTTATTCATTGTCTTTCATGAAATAAATGTGTAAATCTTCATTTTATTAATATATACAAATATATGATACTGACATAGAAAGAAAACTCTTTGAAAGTATAATAATTTTCAACTGATGGCTGTATTTTTATTCTGTGAATATGGGAAGCATAACTAGATATTTTAATCATTTATTTAATGTGTAAATCATTTGACAATTTGATTTTTCAAATATGCACACTCAATAATGTTTTGGTTCATGTTAAAATGCATATTATTATTACAAAAGGGAGTAGAATTAATGCTACTGTCAATATACAGCATTAGCCAAACAGCAGAGAATTATTACCTTTAGGAAGGTAATATAGTCTTTATTAGACCCTTGAATTGTAATCTCTAGTCTTCTATATTCAGAGCCCATTTATATAATGATTATGATAGTATTTTCTTGAAAATACTTTTTCACTAGACACTTTGTCATCATGTGATATTTTTATCAGCAGAATCATGATTATAAAATATAACATTTCAATAGCATGGTTTCTTTACTTATATTCATAAATTCCAATGGTTGAAAGCAGTTTCTTTTTTTAATTTTTTTTCAAGTAAATTACCTAAGCAAAAAAAAAAAAGGAAACTCAAAGATTTAAGCTGGTAATTAACTTTCTGAAGAGTGTATCTGAAGGAAAGACCATATAATTATCCTAATAATAAAGATTACAGAAATAAATGCTGTAGTTTACCAATTGTCCTGTAATATGATAAAGTTTAGTAAATACAATTAAGTAGAAGGTTGTGTTTATAATTATTTCAAACAGAATAAGCTGTTACAGCACATCAAACCATAAAATTTAACTTTCAGATGAGGTTTTTTGGGCATACACGTTTTTGGTTTTTGTGTTTATTTTGAGCTAGACTTAAACTATTGCAAGATAGGTACATTCAATAGATATATATTTATAATTTAAATTTTATGAAATTTACTTTACACTTATGTTTTAAAATATTAAATTGGGCTGTCATAGAACTGTACATGAAAAGTTTTACTTAGTAATGAAATATGGTAGAAATATGATGGGATATTGTATCTTTTTTAAGGAACCTGGTTAATTAAACCTTTAGAGTCTAGATTGAGTACAGGTTCCTTCTTTAAATCATATATTTAAATATTACATAACTTGATACTTTTTCTCAGAATAATACTTGTCTATTCTTTGGATATGAGAAAGCTCGTGATAGACTCAGTATCTGCTTCTCAATAAAATGTAGCTCTATATCTCTGACCAAGTTGTGTTGGCATTTCAAGTTCTGATAGCTCTCCAAGTGATGGTGTGAGTGTTGTTATGCTGAATATTACAGTAGTAGTTTACACTTGATTCATAATGATGGCTACTGAAACAAGAATATTTTATGGTGTCAATTTTTGTGTGATATTTAATTTCATAATTTATAGGAAGGTTTTTAAACAAGAAAACCACCTATTATTCATATTGAAATAAACCATGTCTCACTAGCAAATTATTGTACCCCCTTGAATTTTTAGAATCACAGAATGCTTAAGATGAGACTAATCTTGGAAATCACAGAATATATAAAACTTCTATTTTATAGATGTGGTAACTAATTATGACTTGCTCATAAAAAATTCACAACTAATTGTGAACTGCTCAAAGAAATAATCTTTGCTCTAGATGGAATGCTTCACAAGGCTACTGTTATTTTAAATACTTCATTTTTTGTGAACCATTACATTTTTAACTTAACTAAAAATGCTCAAACTTTACATGAATTTTTCATATAAAGTGTGGAAGAAAGTTAAAACCGATAGCTCCTAATGATTAATAGTTTTATGGAGTATTATCAAATAACAATTTATGCCTTATAAAATCTACCATTTTTATGAATATGATGCCAAACTTCTTTATTTATTACGGTGATGTGCATTTCATACATCTAATTATCACACATAGAGAACTCTTAGAGCCCTTTTACAGAAAAAGAATACTGAGAAACACAATCATCTATCAAGTTGACGTACATTTGTTTTTGCTTGTTTTTATACTATAACAATAAAATTACAATCAACGTTTTGCAAACAATATTTACTTTCAAAAGCAGTGTTTCTCTCCTGCTGACTGAATATCTGTGGTGTTAAGATTATAATCTCTAATCTTGAACCGTATTTTCTGTGCATTTGTGAGCTGTAACACGTGTAGTGTGGTATGATCCTGTGAACTGTTGAGCAGGACACAAGAGTATGGGTTCAAGGTTTACTCTTTTAAAATAAAAAGTGATGCACCCTTCAGGGGTCCATCAGGGAAAGGCCTGCCTCACACATCTTCTCCCACAGCTGTCCCTGCCCTTGATGCCTGCTGTGTGGACTGACAGTCCATGTAGTGATGACATCATCCTCTCCAACAAAGAGTAATAGAGAATTATGGGAATTCTTGAGGAAATGACCTCATCCCGATTTTACTACTTGACCTTTTACGGACAGATTTTGTTTCAATTAGTCTCTAATTCCAGTTAATTTGCTGACTTAACTGAGTAATTCAAGGAACTGAAAGAAGTTTAAGATTTAAATTATAGAAAATATAAGAATACTTTTCACACACATTAAGAATGATTTATCTAGTGTTTTGTGGTTAATCACTTAATTTGGAGGAAAAAAGCTATATTAAATTATTTTAATGGACAGTTTTTCTTGTTTATTTTCATTTTTTTTTGTTTGTAACAAGATTAGTAAATAAATAGACTTTGTATATCTATTGTTTACATTTGCAAATGTTTTAGAATCAGAGCGATTATGTCTTGATGGTCAAATCTCTAAGGAGGCAATGTGGTCAGTATGTTCCTCTATAATCCTGAGATTAGTGTGGAAAACTCACCACCTTTAACATTAGCTCTTTCTCCCTGAGTCCACACACACAGCACTTTATAGTCCAATACACATTTACTTTTTTGAAATTTGGATACTTCCAACTCTTATGCATATTATAATCAGAATCAGTTTACAGTCTCTATCAGGCAAGTGGTGGTTGTAACTCACTGTTTTTGTCTGTAAACTTTGCACATGTGAATTTGGTCATGGCTTCTTACATTGAGTTGTTTGTAGTGTTGGAAGTATGTGTATTGAGTTTAGTTGCTTTTGAAAGTGTATTAGGGCATTATGATTTAGTGTTGATGTGCTAGGAGATTACATATACAGAAAAAGAAGAGAACTGTAGCTTGGGGCATAAATTTGATATTAATGAAGACAGTCTTCATCCTTGCAAGAAGCAGAAAAAAAAATGCCAAAATTTTTTGGTCCTCAACAAATAAGTGTCTTACAGGACATAAGAAACTAAGATACACATAATGTTGGCTGCTGTGTTCTGTTTTGTTCTGCTAGAAGGATGACTATCACAAGCAGGCATCCATGCAGAAGATGCCCATCACAAGCATAGGTACAGTGAGGAGGGTCAGAGGATGGGGAAGTACTGCCTCCACCTGCTGGATACCTGCCTGTTGCTATTGTACCTATTTGTCCATCTGGGCAATTCAACCTCTCAGTGTCTTTTAAAAACATATTTTTGCTGTTGCCTTTAGAATCCTCTGAAATATATCAGACATCTTCTTCAATTAAATTTGCCCCAAGGCCCACATTTTATTTCTCGACCCAAATTACTGCCAACTTTTAAAGCAATAAATTGCCGGGAGCATAAATTGGCCCCCAAAATTTAGCCCCTTTTAAGATCAAATGCAGCCATGTCCCCCTGTGCTGCTTTTGAAATCAATGCCTTATGTAGATTAATGCAGAAAATTAAAGTTCCAAAATATGTTCAAAAGCACCATACTTGCTCTATATTTTGTCTTTGCCTGCTCAGTCCCACAGAGAGGGGCTGCCTTCTGTGCCTGGTTGGAAGCACACTCTGCAGCCTGGCATGTCCTCCCACAAATCTTGTTTCCTTCTCTGTACTTTGAAAGATGAAAACCAAAACCTGTTATTTTTTCTAACTTTTTAAGTAATTATCAGAGCATTTAAGAATGGTTAATAGGATGATGAGTTAAGATGGCAGAGGAGTAGGGGGACGTGGAGTTCATCTCTCTCCACAGATGCATCAGGAATACAACTACAGATGCAACAGTTCTCACAGAACACTGGCTGAATGCTAGCAGAAGACCTTGAACAACAGAAAGGACTATAAAGATCCTTGCATAACTGGATATGACAAAAAAAAAAGAAGGTAGAGGAGGAGGAGAGGAAGTGGGACAGGACCTGCACCCGCAGTTGGGGAGCTGAAGCAGAGGAGAGATTCCCGGATTTGGGGAAACCCCTCTCTGACAGGGAAATCAATTGGGACAGAAGGGAAGAATTTGAGGCTGTTGGAAGAGGGTGAAGCAGCTGATCTGTGACAGATGCAACAGACTCAGAACTACACAGACAGTCCATACTGTGGCCCTATGTGCTCTGGACTAGGATGTGTGTTCACAAGTGTGCAAGGGAGCTGGGAGCTGGAGCATGGGGATTGGAGAAGAGGCCTGGAGTGAGAACTGGTGTTGGCTGTGGGAAGACAGACCGAGGGGACAGGAAGGAAGAAATCCACAGCAGGGAATGCCTACAAAGGAAGACCGGACTGCCATGGAAGCAGGCGCTACTGCTAAGTCACACTCAGGGGGATGAGTCACTATTGTAGCCTCTCTGTCCCCTCATGCTGGCATCTGCCAACGGACAATAAAAGAAGCCCTCTCAGGGCCGGCCCTCGCACGCTGGCTTCCGGGCACCAAAAATAGCCCAGCCAGGGCCAGGCCTCATGCACCTTACGCCAGGTGCCAGAAAAGGCCCTCACTAAGGCCATATCTCTTGCACCCATGGTCGCTGGCTTCCCTGCACATTTGGTGCCACCAGGGCTCCTGCAAGCAGTCATACCACCTCTGCACCTGGTCCTCACTCTGGCAGACCCATGAGCTCCAAGG